CTTTTTTATATATGCTTTTAGAAAATACCCCCCCCGCCACGAGGAGGTGGTGGAGGAGGAAGAGGAAGATTACGAGCTCTGCTGCCACCTCTACCACCACGACCTGGTGGAGGCGGTGGAGGTCCTCTGCGAGGGCTCATATCATCATAATCTCTTCTCGATGGAGGCATAGGTCGGCCACCACGACCAGGGGGCATTCTATCAAAACCTCCTCTTCCACGCATCGGAAAGCCTACTGGACGTCCCCTTCTATCATCAAACATCATTGTGAAGCCACCATAGTCATATGTTTCATCATAGAAATTGGGATCATAAGGCTGGGCCCGTCCTTTAATCGGAGACTAAAACAAACAAACAAAAAAAGAATCCCCCTGAGCCAATTAGGACTGTAACAATTGGCATATTTAATTGAATGAATATACATTTTTTCTCCCTTCCTCTTCAATTTTTGCATCTTAATGATATGCAAAGCATGAATAACAGTCCACTATTACCAAAAATTGGCTTCCCTCCCCCCATAAGGTGCACCCCACTTCTAGAGAACAGAAATAGTTTAAAAGGCGGTAACAGTCAATCACTTTGTTACTGCTGAAGTACAAGGTACTGAATTCAAAACAGAAACTGAGAGATACTGTTTTTCATCCAAATGATCCCTAACATTCATGAATGCCAATGAAAGAATAAAATAAATTTAATAAACATTACCTCAGAGATAAGATCCAAGATAATCTTGATACATTCAACGACTCTATCAGGTTTTCCACCAATAAGCACCACTCTGTCAGTAGAATGAGGACAACACTCTTGGAAGAGCTTAATGGTGGTCTGAGTGTTCTGTTGAAGAAAAAAAAAAAAAACAAGATTGTCTAATATAAGTATTTTAAACAACTTTATAAACCCATTAAAACATTTTTAAAGAAACAATCCGAAAGACAATTAAACTCCCAGCCATTTTAAGTGCATGGTTGCTTCTGAGTTCTCACAACAAATCTAGTTTTTAAGATTACATTTTTTTAAGATTTGTGCTGACATAGTTTTGTATGAAGAGGAAAAAAGTTCAGTTTGCTCCTCTTTGGATGCCAGACAGTGATGTTGCTTGGATTATGTCTAGTTATCTTGCCTTTCTCAACCCATGCAAACAAGTATCAGCCTATACCTGAACTGACCTGAAATTGCCTCTGACACAATGCCAAGAAAGGACAGAAAACAGAAGTATTTTGAGTTCATAGAGACCATTAGCTTTTTAAAATCTCATTTCTTCATGGAAAGAAAACAATGGTCTTCCAGGAGGTAGAACTAAAAAAAAATTATAAAAATAAAGCCCTTTCATAGTAATATTCAAGTATCTATTGAATTATCATCATAAGAGTTTGTGGAGATGCATTCTCACCCTAAACCATTTTGCATGTCCAACCACACGAATAAATCTAGTCTATGCAGCAGTTCATTCTAGGAGCAGTGATGAATACCATTTAATTAAAAAAAAAAACAACAGACAAAAAAACACCCTTTCTTTAAAAACATTACTCTACCACAAATATTGTGTGAAAACTTGACAAGAAGTCCTAGGCTCTATCACCAATGACAACTTTACTTCTGAGGGTTTGCAAGACACTTGCAACTCAGAGAGCCATCTCAGAATATCGAAATCATGTACGCAGTATGTTCTGAAGGAACTACTGCACAGAAGGTAGTTACATTTGCCCTTTATGAACACAAAACACTACGTTGTTTATTGAAAAAAAAACAAATCTCAGAAAAACAGGAAATAAGTACCTCTCTGAGTTCTTTAATTTTAGCACCCTTGACACCAATTATTCCTCCTGCCAAACTTTGGTGAATAAGAAGTCTTAATTCGCAGTCAAAGTCGCTGCCCTTGTAGTGTTGATACTGTAAGAAAGATGCATACAAGGAAAAGAACAAAATATTAGTCATACAAAAATTTAAAATATTTGGGATTTTGTTAAATTTTTTCTCTAAACACAATGGTATGTCTTGATTTATGGCTGAATTGTAATCCTGTATTTCCTTTGATAGGATCACAACTATTTAAGCACCTCACCTCAACATAGAATGTCGTCAAATCAATTTTCCTTATATTACATTGTATTGCACAACTTTCTACCCAAATTTAAGAAGGTATCAAACAGTGCAACACTCTTACTTATAAAGCCAATGCACGATACAAGTTACAATACAATTATTTCAAAATGGGGACAAAACAAGTCAGGAGGCAAGTATTTTGAAAGGGGGGAGGCTGTTCGAAACATTAATTTAATAAATACCGACTGACTCTGTCCTCTACCGAAAAAATGCCAACATGTAATTTGAGAGCCATAACCCTTCTTTAAAAGGCTTTTGTTTTTTATTTTCAAATTTCCAGTATTTAAAAAGCAGCAAATAATCTAGAACCATCTTGTTTCAAAAGCTAATCTCTGAAAAGAAACAAACGTTAAGAGACATACCTCTTCTAAAGTAGGGATAATCTTCTTCAAGATTTCTCCAATTGTCTCTATATCTGCACTTATACTCAAGATGCTGTTGGAGGCCATAATGCCAGACAATATGGAGAAGGTGGAAAAGAAGAAGTAAATTTTTTTCATTATCATACACAAAATTCTAGCAAGATTTACTACACAGAAGAGCTTACAATTAATATTCCCCATTTAAAGTAAACCTCTTTGCTCAATTTACAACACATGCATCTTTGTTTATGCCCAATATATATGCATGATAAATTTAAGATTAGGTACGTCTTGCAGAGAGAGAGAAAGAAAGACAGAATGGGCTTTTGGAAGGGCTCAGATTAAGTGGGCAAGAAATTGACGCAGAACTGAAAGTAGAAGTGAATATTCATGTTCCCCGCCACCACTAATTTAGGATACCCTCGCTATTACATTGGTAAAACTGGCACACCTTCTCATAGAAAAAGTGGGGATATGCAAGTGGTGAACATTGTATCTGGAGTAAGGTTATGAGACCAGTTAGAAATCAGATTACCAATGGGCTCTCCGAGAAAACAAATACAAATGCAAGACAAAAAAAAGACAAAACAAATGAGAAGTGAAGGAAAGTGAACCAGAGTTAGCATTTCATCAGAAATAATTATGAACAGGCAATGTTGAGGGGAGCAAGGTGGGCCACAAAGACAGAGCGAGAGACTACTTTGAAACAATTTGATTTACAATGCAGCAAATATGCAACACTTGAAGCTGTGCTCCTTCCATTGAAATAAAATTAGTGGATTGTTTGGGTGGGCAACTCACGTAAAAGTTCAGTGACAAAAAGACTTAATGGGGAAAATAAGACAGAAAACTTGAAAAAAAACAATACACCGTCTATAAGGGGATACTATTTAATTATATCAAAGGCAGGTAATAAAATACATTTCTCTCTTTCTAATCAGGCAGTGAGGCATAAACTGTTGGGACATACCGCTCGGGGCCACTGCTGTCTGGGACTGAAACACTGGCATTGTACTGCATTGGTCATTGGCGTTCGTGGATGTTGGCATTGGGCATGGGTATTCAATCGGAAGTTGTCAAGTATGGTACCCGTTTGGCAACGAGCACATTTTTGGGCATAGCCAACCAGGGTTTTCACATGGGCGTTCAGGGGCGGATGGGCCAACGTCATGGTGGGCAACGCAGGGGCAAGTCGATCCAGTACATGGGCAACGGAGATATATGGCCAAAAAAACAAGGAGAGGGAAAAGGGGGAAAAGCAATAAATTTTAATTTAATACAAACTATACTCATTACTCTCAATTAATGAAACAAGCTTAAGTTGTTCTGAAGACTAACACAATAACGGATTGCTACACCGACTGTGGCTTAACAGTATGGACTTGATCTGACTGAACTACTTTTTACTTTTAACATATGATGTTTCAGTAGCAGGCTGGCTCATGAGGGTAGACACAAAACCTGTCGAGATTGATAGTACTAGAATCTTGGGCAAATCGGGAAAGTTAGTTTTCCAGACCAATCTAAATTATGTGGACTTAGGTGACATATTGATTTACTTAAAAAAAAAAAAAAAAAAACAAAAAAACCCCACAAAAAAAACTCTAAAAAAAAAACCAACTAGCTGCCAAAGTTAGTGAGCATATGTATGATTCCTGACCATTTCAACTTAAACCTCAATTCTGGTTGCCGTAGTTTATGAACTTAGTTGGAACTGATTTGTAGTGATACATTGCCAAATCTTGTGTTGAACAGAGTCTTGATCGGAAAAACTGTTGAAATTGTAGCTGATGTTAAGTACAGGAGTGTAAACAAATGGAATTTAAGAAGCGTTGCCAACTTTTATAAATACACAACATTAACGCTGAGCATGTGTCTAATCACAAGAGTCAACCCACTGTAAAATGTGAATAAGCAAGTAAGTCAAGACCATTTAAAAATGCTTCAAAGTAACAGAATAGAATGTTGCTGTACTGTTCTATATCCATATTTAAAGCAAGCAACCTTAACATTAATGCTTTTGTGCTTCATGTGCAAGCTGTTAAGAGAACAGATGGACCATTTCGTTTGTTTGCTTTTTTAAAGGAAGTCAAAGAATTCTTCTATCACTGGGTAAGCCAGCCACCTGCAATGGTTTCGGTAGTACTGTAATTGATTCACACATATGGGAAATGGTACAATTAAGGGGTTTAAGCTTTGTCAATATTTCTAATTAGGATGTTAACTCACTTGAAGTGTGTAATTTAGCAGAATCCTATTCAAAAGCGAAGAGATTTAATATAAACCTCTCCTCCCACGAGTCAAGCTGGGTTTTAATTACAATAGAAATTGAAGAACTAAGTTATCTACTCTAACAATCATTACAAATGGCTTGTAACTAGACTCCTGATGTCTAGAGTTGAATTGCTCCGATTTCTAGAAATGCACGCAATCAAGCTTTCGATGTAGTGCTCTGAAAGAATTGGTGTTAAATTAGTTCAAACTCATATATACTTACGTCTGTACGAAGTGCCTTAATATTTTTGCCACCTTTTCCAATCACTGCTCCAGCATTCTGGAAAATAGTTTTCAGAAGTTATGTTATGCCAACACAGCACAGACTACATTTTTGAACTCAAGACTAAGAATGCTAAATCTATTTTTGCATTACCCTGTTGGCCCAAGGGGCGGGGGCAGGTGGGCACTGCTTTTGAAAGGTTCAAATGAAATTGAAACAAACTGATAGTTTGTTCATGGAAAAAATGACCAACAGCTCTTACCACTCAACTTAGGAAAGAGAAGGATATTCAGTTTTCCAACTAGTATTTCAAATCCAAATGGAAGTTTCTAGGCAATTTTGCCTGTGTTAAAGCAATCTCACAGACCATAGCTCTCAAAAAAATACACTGTATGAATGTAATGTAGGTCAATGATTTCGCTAATTTATTTGATCAAGTTTTTTTTTTTTTTAAAAAAAAGGAATATGTTTGCAAATTCCACTTTTGCACTCCAAACATTTCTTGATAATTTCAAGTGCTAATTTTGGTTTATATCTCTGTAACTTAACTGACTTCTCACAGCAGTATATTCTGAAAAAGGTTAAAGCCAATGTTAACAGCCACTAACTTCAAGTTTCTAACATCAACAGGAATAAACTGGCAGACAGTCAAGAAGAGTAATTGCAAAACTATATTTTTACCAGGTTATTTCAAGGATTACATGCAAAAGTATTGCTTTTATTACACAGGTCACACATTATGCTAACAGCATGCAAAACATTTCGCAGTACCCCACGTAACTTGACTATTGGTCAGAAATGCCACGCAGAGTTAAGGTAACATTCCCCCATGCCAATACAAGACTGAGATACTTTAGGAAGTACAAATCACCTGTAACAACCGGAAACACAAGAGGAAATTCATACATAGCAACTTTACTGTAACTACGTACACTTGTCAACAAAACCATTGCAATCCCTGAAGCAGTAATCCCACATTTCTTCCTGTTGATATATCTGAATAAGTTTGGTAGATCTGTTTGAGAGAGTTTTTAAAATTCTAAGGAAGTTCTTGTCTTACCTCTCATATTTAATTTACAATCACTAGCTGATCATTCTCTGAACTGCTTCCTTTCCTAAGACTAATACACAGTCATTCCCCTCAAATTAACAACCTTCCAATCAAATGTAAAAACACCTTGTAACTTCTATTGCTCTATTTTTCCAGCAAGTACATCTTTTAAAAATAACTGTATTGATCCTTAGGGACTTACCCTTTAAAAGAAACACTGAAGATAATTCCATCGCAACACACTTTTACTACCATTCACGCACACTTAAAATTATTCCTAATAAGGTATCTTGTATTAAATAAAGTACATATTCTTTCTAAACATATATCCCAACATACACTTGGTCACCACTGTCTTGAGCAATGCTACAAGCAAAACCAGTAAAAATGAAAAAGCATACTTTGCTCTGAAGCAGGATGCGTAATTCAACCATCTCATCCGTGTTCCGAGATCTTTTGAAGGCCTGCTCTTCCTCCATATCTTCTGCAGGACGTTTGCCTGTAGAGAGGTCCATAGGGGGGAAACACAAACATTTATTTAACTTTCTAAGTCGTAATAAAATGGAACACATGCCAAATTCACGCTCTGTATTCTTAACACATTCTTTCCTATTAGCCCAACACTAATCGCTGATGCCTACTCTGAGCATCCACAGCACGGAAACAGTTTCTACTTCAACAGCTTACATATCGCTCAACTACTGAAAATCCATTTAAAATCTACGAACTGTGGTTTAAATGAGAATGTTGCACACAGCCAGTGAGAAATTCATGACACGCTGTTTAAAGCGGTGCAGCATCACCCACTTAGTATTTATTTGTAATTTACAATTGGGAAAAACCTTTCAGGCAAAAAGCTAGAAATGTAGTTTGTCCAACACTGAAATACTGGTGGAATAATAGTAAAGTAGCACTTCAAATACTATTTGGAAAAAATTTCCATGAATCAACGACACTAATGCCCTCACTTCCACCTTAATTATGCCCAAGAAGTTTTTCATGAAGCTCTTTAGAGGTATTTCACGTAAGTTTATTGCATGTAAAAACTACAATAAACAAAATGCAATTAATGGATATGCCTGATAGTATTCTTACATATTCACACTCTCCACACAAGTACTGAATATTTAACTATGAAATATTTTCAAATCCCTAGTCATAACTTTCAGTTACTTATCCCACCTCTAAAACATGGCAACACAAAGATTATGCATTTATGCTTTGAATGCATGTGTAATGATACGGTCCAATTCAAAGATTTAATGCAGAATGCAAAACTACTGCTGATACAAACATTTGATACAGTTAAAGCATTACAAAATATTTGGAAACACTGAAATTTAAAGAGGTTCTTTCTAGAAAGAAACAGTCCTTTAAAAAATTTACCATTTGTCTCTGTGTTGGTAAAGGTCTCTTCCTGTTGTTCAGTCTCCATTGCCTTTTTTTCTTAGGTGGGCAGGCAAAGCCTGTTGAAGAATAAAAAAGCTGGTACATCTATTTTGTGAAAAGGCAAACCGTACATTGTGCTAAAGGGAAAAAGCAAAAAGAAATGCCTGCTTCTAGAACTTACCGCTATTATATATCCTTGCAGAGAAAAACTCAAGTATTCTGGGCGGGATCAAAATCCAACAGCCTATTGCTTCAAGAGCCTATGAAAACAGCATATATCAGTTGTGACTCTGCTCGCTTACACCTCTGACTCTCACTACAGCCAAAAACCAGAGGTTTGACCTGAGTTTTTGCTGCAAAGTTTTTCTTTACAAAAATGAAAGCATACCCAGGCCAAATACACCACTAAGAGTAGATAACAGACAAGTCTGTAAACTTACAGATAAACAATTACTGTCTGAATTATAGTTTTTGGGCAAATGCTAGTTTTAAGTAACCACATTTACTAAAAATTATTTTCAGATACTTAAAGTGAACACGCATCCAGCTCCTATTTTATATGATACATGCCTTGGATTTACTTTTTAAAGGACACTACGTAACAATCTGCTCCTGCTGTTTAGTTCTAAACAATTTAAACTAAAAAAAGTCCTATTATGGTAGCTGTCAGCATTAGTTTTATAAATTCTCTACCAATGTACTAGCAGGCATTTTAGCATGCCTTTCACTCAAGTATAATAAATGAACAAAAGACAAATTACAGCTTGTAGCCACACTGGAAAAAATCTTTTAAACATACCCCCTCTGTAGTTACATATAATCCTCTGCACACACACAACCAAGAACCTCAACAGCAGCTGAACTTCACTATGATTTGCTGAAATAGGGATCTTATTTGTGACCTGCTTTTATTAAGTTGGTCTCGGAATACTACTATGTCACATTGTACAGAAGTCTAGACAAAAGAAGTAATTTTGCAACTTGTTCTCTTAAAAAATTCATTTCCACAGATAAGACAGCCAAACAATCATATACTTCCCCTTGTATTTTATTAATTTCCATTGCCTCAATAAATGCACTCATTCTGGCATCCACAAAGGAAAAAAAAATGGGGTGCACTTAACTTTTTAAACACACTCTAAGCCAGCTGTTAATTTGTAATTGTTGCCCTGCTTGTGCAGGCTAACAGCAGGCACTGCCTTTCCCAGCACACGCTAGTCTTTCCAGGCACTTAAAGTGAGCTAACGGGGACACACAGATTTAATGGTAGTGAAATCTCAGTCAGACATTGCCAAAACTCTGTTACGTGGGGGACAGTAGGGAGGGGCCGGGCAAATTTTTACACGGTTTAAATAGCCCTTTCGGACCCCGGTTATTCTATTTCCAACCACCCCAAGAATTTTAGGGCTGCGGGGAGTGAACTGTAATATACTGTTCAGGGCTTAGTCTCCCCTAGTCGCGTGTATTTACCCGCCTAGCCCAACCTC